AGTACTGCTACTTACTGTTGTACTGCATACGCTTCATTATTATTGCACACACACACAAACACACACACATTTAAACATACATACAAACAACTACCGTTCGAATTCCTGCGGTGTACTCGTTTCACTTTTAGGACACCGTATAGTGTATTAGAATGTATTAGAATACACGTATATATACATGATATACTATGATATATACACACGGATTTCCTACATTAACTAATGATGTTACTATAATGTATATGTCTGGTTAGGTACGCCGCAAAGGTGTTTCCGGTCACAGAAAGAATAACAAATCCAACAAGTAGGTATATCATCTGATTTTTGTTTTTCACATACCAAGATAATAATGTGGTATTATCCAAGTAAAGCGTATGCCCGCCTTATGGCATCTCGACGATTGATAACGTACCTAATTATGAAAAATTCCAAGTCTATCGTAATGTTTTAAAGAAAAATGTGATCTTATATATTAAGATATTATTATAATATAACTATTGTACATTAAACAAACAAGGAACCAAGAAATTTCTTGTTCAATTAAAGCTCGTTGAATTGTTTAATAAATTAGTTCTTCAATTTTCGGTGTATGAAAAAAAAAAATTACAACTCTTAAACAACAAATGGTTTTGTTATAATATAAATTGAGCATTATAATGACGTAGAATAATAATATCTTGTTCTTTCATAATAGAAATGTAAGCATTACAAATTATATTAACTTTTCGAATTATATTGATTAATGAATAAAAACATAATTTAGCATTATATATTATTTTGTCGGTTCATGACACGAACGTGACTTATCTATTATTATTATTTTTTTTTTTTATACTGCAGGCGTAAGTACCAGAAATGATCGATTGGCTTACCTACTACTGCTGTACCTACTCAAGATAATAACATTATAATCCCGTCTGGACAAAGAAGAAAAACACCGCTCGAGTGTGTGTAGGATAAAAGACAATGCACATTACGAGAGTATCGACAAAAAAAAAGAAAGAGAATATAATAAAATATATATTATACTTAAATAAGACCGGGTATTCGTAAATGTTGTTGTGCGTGAGAACTCGGTGCGCGAGAAGGGTGTTTAATTCGTAATTCGTATGGTGTATAATGTATATTAATATGCTGCACCTATAGGTACATAAATAATAATAATAATAATCATTACCACCGTTGCACGGTCGTCATGCCAAACATGCGTATAAAATCGTATTTTTTTCAACGGTTAATTGTTTGGTTTTTGTTTATGTCAACAACTGCCGTGCTGTCTGTCTACAAGTGTATGTGTGTGCGTGTGCGTTCATAGTATATAATATTTCAGTCAGATTTTAGATTTTGAGCGTTTTCAATTGTAGGAGTGGACAAAAAAATACGAGTGTTTTCGGTCTTTTGAAAATTAAAATTATCAAACAATACATAGGTAGATTGCGGACCGCGTAACGATGGGAGCCTGGTCGGGGGAGGGGGGGGGTTACCATCGTCGTAGACGGCGTGTATATACAACCGCCACCGGACGAGAGCCGCCGCCGACATATGGTCCGTCTCCCCCAGAATAATATAATATACTCCTACATACGCACACACACATGAGGGTGGGCGCGTATAGTTTCAATGGGGATAGGTATACGATATCGCTGCTGGATGGAATGCCGTTTATAATACACGTCACGCAGGGGACGTTAAACCTGTTCGGGTGATAATAATAATAATAATATAATTATCGAATCGTGTTTGTCCCTGTAGGCTCTGCAACGGTAGTGATGCGGCGAGCAGGTGCGCGTACGTTATTATTACTATTATTCGTATAATAATGTTATGCTTCTAATATTGTATAATATATAATATATGAACTTGCGCGGTAATACTATTATAGGTATAAACATTTTATAATACGTATTTGTATAATATTAGGTACACCGTATACAGTTTATGTGTTTAATTTTATTCTGTCACTGCGCTTGACCGTTATTAGCGGTGGGATAAAGACACAAAGTAAAAGTGAACACGGAAAAAATAAATATCTGTTTTCATAGTGCTCGTCATGGGTGTGTTTTATTATACGGTGAACACCACGGCTGTGTATAGACAAACAACGACCGTTTTCTCGAAGACTGCAGTGTGAATAATAGAATATGCATAAGTATATACAATTAAACGAGAAACGTGTGTAAATCTGAGGGCGTGTCACAGCGTCTTTAAGGGATGTTCGATTTCCGTTTTGTTGAACAATAATATATCATCATCGTCGTCTTCGTTATCCCTTCTTATTATATCGCGTTACGCGACCGTTTAATGTACATTATAATAATACAATGTACTCGGTTCGTTCTCACGAAAAAAATGTAATGGTTATCTGGAGCACAAGACCAACAAACAGAGCAGAAAGCCCTCGTTAGTCGCCGTTGCCATATATTATATATATTATTATTATAATGTATATAAACGCAGTTTACAGTGTTTAACTAGGATTTATTAACTTGGAGTAATATCGTGCTATACAGTAGTATTGAGTTTCGGTTTCCCGTCAGTGAAAAATAATTCTACCTACCGGTGGTATATACTCTGTATATTATAATGTGGCGCCGTATAATAAATATAATATAGCGTGCAAATGGTTGGCGATCGGTCTACGGAAATAAAATATCTACTCGGAAATGATCGTTCCACGTGCGAGGTTTTCCAGCACTCATTAAAACAGTTAATAATATTATCCATAATATATTATACTATGTATATATATCATATTTAAAGACGATTTATGAAATTTATTATCGACAGTGTATAGGCTTCGCCGGCTTCGTCTTGGCTCGTGTTAAAAAAACCACAATTTCCGTTGACGACCGCAGGTATTTCGTCGGCTTGAGACTTTTTGTCGAACACAGGGACTATTCCAAAACACAGCTGCACGTGTAATAATGCATAAACAGACGAAAACGTTGGGCATCACTGGATCATTGCACGCACACACCGGAAGTTAAAGGGGACACAATGTATTGTTTCTGTTTTGACGCACTCATCCTGCAATTATGTTTGTTTTTTATACTGCGCACTGTGTATTATCAGCACCACACAACAAACGACTTTGGGTTATCTTTATTACCAGGGCACACTACATTGTCCAATTCGCCGAAACGTGTCCTTTTAAGGGGCTTCGCAAATCGCGGGTCTTAATCACTTTGCTCGTAAAATACATTAAGATTTCGAAATGAGGTCATATTATAGAATTTCGGAAAAACAGTGAACGTCCATCAAGGTTCTGTGTTTTAGAAAATTGTTTTGATGTCATATATACATTTGTATATTGCATACATTTACATATATATAGTGAAACTTCCATATTAAGAAGTATCATAAAAAAAAAAATATTGGTACTATAGATAATTTTGTTAAATAGAATTGAATAAATTTGTTTCTAAATTGGTTTGGCTTTCAAAATATTTCGTAGAACGGTGAATTTTGTTAAATGGAAGTTCGTTATATGCAAGTTTCACTGGATATAATATATTATATATACATGTATGATGATATATATTATATATGCTAAGACCCGAGTACATATTGGAAATTCGTGTCTGATCTCCGGTAAATGTATTATACAGGGAATCCGGGTCTATTGACTTGAAGTTTATGATGTGTAATCATATGTTGTATGTACAATACTTTGAATATTTTTTTATTTGACCTATACTTTTCCACGACCCACGTTCATTTAGAATTTCAAGTATGCATAAAAATTTAGTTTGTGAACTCGAAGAGCAGATTAAAAAGCTAAATTAATGATTTCCAACCAATTGGAATTTTCCTACATATTTTTGTAAATAGTAAAATGTTAAGTATATGCGATTTACTCGATTTAGTGTTGTTTAAATGAATATTTTGATTGAACAAGTAAGTACACCTGGTAAAATATCCGAATGAATTATTAATGTGCAGAATGTGAAAAAATGTATTTAAAAGTATAATTTGTAATACCCACTGAAGAGTATTTAATTGTATTGCATCAGTATAAATATTTAAAATAATAAATTATCATTGTCAAAAACATGAATTTAAAATATAATTTAGTTTTGTTTGTTTTATTTTTTACAGTCATACATTAATAAAAATATTTTTATTGAAAATAGAAATAATTATATGATAATATTGTTTAAAATATAATATGTATAATTGTAGCTTTTATTTTATTTGTCATAATATGAAACAATTTTTCAAAACAAATGTTTTATTAAGTTGTTTATTATTTAATGAATTTATGTAAAAATACAAATACCTATTTATATCGATTTAGTTAAACATATGTTTGAAGAAGAGTGGACCAATATGATAGTTTTTTGTAATTTGTTAAAAATAAAAGTTATTGATTGCTTCATTACTTAATGGACGTCTTTTATAGTTTTATGCATAAAACGAAGGATAAATATTATATATATATATATTATATCGAAACATACATTGCGCATGGTCGGCCAAATGGAACGAAAAGATTGTTATTGGTCGGCCAACATAAGGAAATTGTGTAATTATCCGGTAATTATTATTGTTCTATGTCGGTCTATTACAGGGCATCCTAAAAACATAAAATGGATAATTTAAAACTGAGATAAATTACTATATAAGGACAAAGAAGTTGAACGCACTATACTTAAGAACACACAATAATAGTAAGTACTTATAATCCTATAATTCAAAACAGCAGCTGCTGACTGTATACGTAATATTTCTTTGGCACAAATAAATATATTTAAAAAAAAAAACTGTATGCAAAAAATAAACTATCCAGTATGGTTGGGCCAGATATGGCGGGTATGAATACAAATAATGTATATGTTCAATGTTCATACATATTTGATATTAAACATTTAAGTCAATACATAAAAAAAGAAATCTTATGGAGTATACTTAACTGTGTTATTGATAAAAAACACTTTTGACAATAAACTATTTAGTTCTAAACTGCATTATTACTAAAATATTTTAAAAAAATAACTTACCAAAGTCACAAGCCATGCATAACATAATCGTCCAATGTGTTTACAACATAATTTAAAACAATATGAATATTTTATAACGAATTTTAAGTACGGAAACAACGTGGAGGTAAACACACAATACACCGGCAACGTGCGTCTGCAGTAGACATAATAATACTCGACTGTTCGCTATAGACTGACACGGATAAGAATAAAAAACCATTAAAATGGGATGGGTTAAAATGGGAGTGTTGCCTGTGTGGTTGACTGGTTTGGTCGTCTATTATATGCGCAACCCACTCTGGTGGTTTTATTTTCAATTTTTCTCATATCTTAAACATTATGATTGTTTGCATTTAAATACCGACTAACTTATAATAACATATAAATGCAATGTATGTAATTTTTTAAATAGCCTACGACATAATAATATAGTATATATATATACATATAATATTATATATATCGTTATTATGTTTAAAGATTTCTTAAAACTGTGAACAATTTATTTAATCTTATAATAAAACAAATTATATAGTAAATAGTATACTATAAAGTATAAACCATTATTCAGTTAAATTATCATTTATAAATTAATGTATCGATTAGTGTAACAAATTTAATTTATACATTAAAATAGTATGTAAATACGACCCAAAGTTATTAACTACTTATTTTATTTTAAGAAACATAAATAAGTAGTTCTTAGTACTGTGAATTGTAATATTATATAATAAGATAATATTATATTATTATATGGGTAAATAGGTAGTATAAAAGCCGAATTTGTTACTTTATTTTTGTTCTGTATTGTTAGAGAATTAAAATGTTAAGAAAACGATAAATTATGTAACTTAATAATCATTTTTTGAAATTAATCTTATTTATAAACATATATTATTAGTAGGTCATAATAATACATAATAATATATAAGTCGTCTTTATTTTTGAATTTTAACTTATGGTTATGTAATAAAATAAATAGGATGAACAAATATTATTCCCATATTATGATGTAGATTGAAGCCTGTATATTATAAGCCTATGTATATATTTAAAATACATTTTGAGCAAAGATTTCCTGAGAAAGTAAATTATGCAACGTATAAAAACAGTAATTGAAACATCGCTGGCGCTAAAATATAATATTTATGAGTAGTTGCTAAAATTTACCATGTAATATTAAATAAATATAATAAAATATACTGACTATAAAAAAAATCAAACAAAACAATTTTAAATTTGATAAATTTTGTCAAAATTCGATCTTTAAATGCTTATAAAAAAAAATTGTGTATATGTATTTTTAATATTTTTCAACTGATATTGTAATAATATATCAGGAGCCTTGTATAAAACTTTCACACTTTTTGGCCCAACAGATAAAACTTTATTGATATTTATAGAAAAAAAACTAAAAAAATTGAAAACTGAAAATGTCCTCAAACAGATCAAAAAGAGTCAAAACATTTTCAAAACTGTATCGTGTATGGGAAATGCTAATATAAACATTCAGTGAAATTTTCATGTATCTACAGTTATTCGTTTTTGAATTACAACAAAATAAGGAAATCGCTACATGAGAAATCGAGTGAATATCCAATGTTGTAAAAATTTGAATTTCAAACGCTCATAAAAATTTAATTTGACTTTCTTATAGACATTTTTTTTTTGATAAAGGTAGATAATCTTATAAGGAATCTTGTATTACATTTTAAAATCTTAGTTTTAAAAAGAAAAATGTTCACGAACTCTTAACTCAAAATACTTTGCTTATTTTCGTGATAAATGCAAATACAAACAGTCAGTGAAAATTTCATGTATCTACTGTCATTTGTTTTAATGTCACACCAAAAACCAAATTCAATTTTGTGTAAAAATTCCCGTTTTTCCTTATGTTTTCTTTTGTTTTTCTTGGTGCTTTTGAAAATTGACCTCCCCAATGCACCAACTAGATTCACTTTCCAGTCAAACAAGATACTGAAGTTGAAAATCGAAGCATTATTTCAACTACTTAGGTATGTGTACACAGACATAAAAAAAAAAATTAAAAAAAAAAAAAAAAAACACACATCATTGTAAAATTAATATATTCATCGTTCCACTCAGAATTATTATTATTCACTTTGTTCAGAATCTAAAATAATAGGCTAGTTAACGAGTTATGACTTAATGTGTACCTAATCAATAATTAACACAGTAATTACTAACCTGCCGAGACATACCTATTTAAGAAGTGTTTGGTGGTCACCAATGGTAGTACTTCTTTATAAGGGCAAATTATTTGAATTTTAATTATAAATATTATATAATAAATTGATATGTTGTAAATGTAACTATTATTGAATCCTAACTATAATCTGAGCTTAGTTTCTAATTATTAGAAATTAATATTTACTATACACAATATATTGAACAAGATATTGAATATTGACATTGCTATACTGCTTCATGAAATTTCGTTGATGTATCAGTTTATTTTTCTGGGTAGAATTTGTTTTTATGTTTAATTGTTTACCTAGGTATATAATAACTAATAAGTATAACATTATACATAGGTATAGCCGTATAGGTACCTAACGTGTATACAATTAATGTTTAAGATGGATGTTACTTCTGTTAATGCAGATATACACTTAGGTGTATGGTTTGAAAAACGAACTGAACATTTTAACAACACCAAATACATGATGGTTGCATATAGAGGGACTTACGAACTCACAGACTCTGAATTATCACCCCTAAAATCCAAGCCATAATGCTCATAATTCTTCATTTTCACATACATATTCAATTTTAATATTCTGTTTACCAATTGATGTTAGGTATAATTGTTCAAAATTATTATACCCACTAGCATTTTTATGTTTTGAAATATTTTATTTTAGATTTGTAGATTGGTTTGATAGTAATAATTATTATTACCTCTATAAATATTATCAATGACATTAGGTAGGTATGATTGGATGATATTTATCATAAATAGTTATTTTAAGAATGCCATTTGGGCTAAAATTATAAGTATAGACACGACTTGAGTGAAGTCACTTTTACACGGGATGAGTACTCGTCCGAGTTGGTGAACTCGGATTAGTACTAAATCATCCCAAACACAAAGTATGGTAATAGTTATAGTGGTCGGACGAGTGAAAAGAGAGAACGAGCGAAATGAGTGAATAGAAAGTGATTGAAAGATCAATTGAGTAGTAGACATAAACTGAATAAACTAAATTCAAATCAAAACTATAATAACTCATTTAACTTTTCGTTTCATAATGATGTTTGTGTTGGTTATTGATGTTATAAAACGTACACTAAAGTTTAATTTCCAGGAATGATTTATCATTTTTTTTAAAATATATTGCACGTTTTATTCGAGGTACCTAATGGGTAATGGGCAATATCTAATTATATTCTATAATCTTTGTAGATGTGTTTACTTTTGGTTATTTAATTATGTTCAGTAGTTTTAAAAACAATTTTACACCCAAGTTGGATGATGATCCTAATATTCCTAGCACATATGCTGATATGGTACAACATTTTATTATACCTACTTAGTGCTTGAATCGGAAAAAAAATATAGGTATGTGAGATGTAAAAGTATAAAAAATGTGTGTATTTATCCGGAGATTAAAATGTCTTTGATTAGGATATAATAAATAGGGGTACTCCAAAATATTTATTTTTTTAAAAGAAAGGGGCCTCCCGCATCCCCCTCCAATTCATGCACTAACTATAGTCCATATAACCAAAATCCATCTTATTGAACAAATTGAACAACTTTACTCTAAAATCGGATTGCATAAGCAATCATTAAACATTTAATAATTCAACAGTAAAATAACTAATAAGTTTCTATAACTGGCACTTCAAAGTCCATGATTGTTCATACAATTTTAGTGGCCATTAAATTAATCAATTTTTTATGCAACTTGGTATCACCCTATTATTATTAACAAAATTCTTCATCTGGAAAGTATAGATCCACGTCCACCCGTGTCTTGCTTGCAGTAAGATTTATTTAACATTACCAGATGTGTAGAATAATATATTCTTATTTATTAACTAGAAATATGTAAGCTATGAATAACTAATTTTATTTTCAACAGTATTAAGATGAAACAATTTACAACCTAAATAAAAGAAACCAAATTTTAGCATTTTTGTTTCATAAGTGTATATAATCAGCTACATATTACCAATACATAATAAGTATTAGTATTTAGATCATTAGATGTATAATCCGTAGTATAAGAAACTATATTTTAAAATGAACAATATAGGTATAAATATTCATACTAAAATAAATAATATTCATGAAATTCTATATCTATTATAAAATACCTAGTCTAGAATTAGAATTATTTGGATAAATTAGAGATCTCTACTGATTTGATTATCTATTAACAATTCTAGCACCAGGAATTTAGATCTAGTGGTGCCTATGATGCCTTACTTAATGCCTTCTAGTTTTGTGTTTAAAAATTGAATAAACTAAATAAATATTAGTAACTAACTAATGAATAACGATAAAAAAAATATATTTACTTTTATATTATTTTTTTGTATTTATCGATACCTATATTATAATATGTTCAAATTTTTTCAGAAAATCTGTTCAGTTTCAGATTTTATGTAAAATTTAAATATCTAGACAAACTAGACAAGGTTCTTGTCCAAATAAAAAATTGAATTTTTCATTCGGTGAAAGGTCGTTAAATTAATAAAAAGGTTTGGTTCTCTAAAATAAGGATTCTTACGTCTTCTTAGTGTCTTACCATCACTTCTTTTTTTAAACATACTTTATCTGGAAGGTTCCAATAACACATTTTTATGTGTGATGTTTGATCTAGTTATCTGAAGGCAACTATTTCATCAAGGTTTAAGTATTTAATAACCCTACGCTTATTACGTGCTTGTGTTTAAAGTAACATTCGTTATATCCAAGTACCTACAATAAAATAAACTATAATCCACTATAATATGCTTAATATTTATATAAATATATAATAATATGTATTATGAATATTATTATTATAAACA